GTTTCATTTTCATTAATCACTTCCCTGAGCAAAATAAATTTTTTGCATATATATATTTATAGACAGAACGTTATACCTAGACTTGTTTTACTCATTTTTGACTGCTTACACTAGCCTCTACAGACTCACTACTTTGATTTCTATTACTAAACAACAACAACTCAACCACGGCAGAACGAACATTAGTGGAACCACAATGAATAATATCTATTTGCTTAATGATGCAACTTTTAAGGAGAACACTTCCTTTCTAAAACTGAAACAAAACAAAAGTAAAATAGAACAAGTAGTGATGTAACAAAAACGTTTAGTTGTTAACTTCAATAATCTTTATAAACAAGGAAGCTTTAGTTGTTAAGTTTAATAATCTTTATAAACAAGGAAGCTTTATTTGTTCAATAATCTTTAGAAACAAGGAAGCTTTAGTTGTTAAGTTTAATAATCTTTATAAACAAGGAAGCTTTATTTGTTCAATAATCTTTATAAACAAGGAAGCTTTAGTTGTTAAGTTCAGTAATCTTTATAAACAAGGAAGCTTTAGTTGTTAAGTTTAATAATCTTTATAAACAAGGAAGCTTTATTTGTTAAGTTTAATAATCTTTATAAACAAGGAAGCTTGAGTTGTTAAGTTCAATAATCTTTATAAACAAAGAAGCTTGAGTTGTTAAGTTTAATAATCTTTATAAACAAGGAAGCTTTAGTTGTTAAGTTCAATAATCTTTATAAACAAAGACTCTTTAGTTGTTAAGTTCAATAATCTTTATAAACAAAGAAGCTTTATTTGTTAGGTTTAATATTCTTTATAAACAAGGAAGCTTTAGTTGTTAAGTTTTATAATCTTTGTAAACAAAGAAGCTTTATTTTTTAAGTTCAATAATCTTTATAAACGAGGAAGCTTTAGTTGTTAAGTTCAATAATCTTTATAAAAAAGAAAGCTTTAGTTGTTAAGTTCAACAATCTTTATAAATCAGGAAGCTTTAGTTTGCTAAGCTTAATAATCTTTATAAACAAGGATACTTTATATATACGGAATTTTAGAAACAAGGACAACTTTAGAAACATAGAGTTTACAGCAATGGTAGAATTAGAACTCTTAATGCTCCACCTAATATTTGTATATAGACAGTTCAAAGTTCACAAAATGTTTTTCTTTTATACACTCTCTTTTTATGTCCATCAACGTATAGTAGAAATCATTTTTTCACTCCTCTTGCAATGGAATTCATAAAACCTGTAAAATACACAGAGAAGCCTACAAGTTAATGATTATGATTTAACAGTTAGTTTTATGTCTGAATCAACCTTTACCAGAATCACAATTAACTAGGTGAGCAAAACATAAAATAATTTATTAACTTATTTTCCACAAAACTATTTAAAACACTTGATGTTTAGCAAGTAATGTTCCCTTAACTCCTGCCTGACGGTAGATAAGCCCTCAAAGATAACTAGCTCAATATCTAAATATTTATCAATACAAACATAGAAGAGTATTGGAATATTTGTTTAGGATTTGGAAGACTTCCAATATGTATATATTGATCTGCTTTTATGTTCAATAAATTCTCAATGGGCTCGTTTCTTTCGTTAATATTAGGAACCCATTTTTAATACGTGAAGAAGACAGTCATCTCGAACTTATTTTTTGCTCCCAAATAAGATGAAAATATGGCTGAGCATGCTCATGACGTTTCTGTATTATGACTGTAAGCTTTAAAACGGCACTTGAAACTTCAAGAGGAATCGATATTTGAGCAAAAATCTCCGTAGTGTTTCTTGAAGGTCTTATATAAATAAAAAAATCTGCTTAATATAAGAGACAAACACAAAAGACAATAATTTGCCTTTCAGATCTTGTATTCGGAAAAAAAAGGACGACTCTAGTTACTTCATTCAGCCGTTCCTCTCAGAACCGAGTGAAAGGAACTGTTGAAACAAAATATAAGTTTATTGTTTTAAATTTTGAACTTACTTGGAGAAAGTAATAAGTAATACAGTTCTTCGCCTCAATACTTTACCTTCATCATGTTACGATGGATTTCTTATTACACTTCAGAAGTAAACTGCGTAGGATTATTTAGATTGTATCATTCATGACCCATCTTTTTCTTAACCACCCTTTAGTTGAAGGTCGTTTACCAAATTTCGATCTGTTTTAACTAAACTTCAGTTTTTACAACAACAAAATAGCGTTGTCATAGTTACTTGCGTAGATTATATAAAGTTACAGCTGATTTCGTGTTATAGGAAATTGGTACTTTACGAACTATTGATCTGTTATGCCTCGTGGCTTTTAAATTCGAAGCTTTTTCTCAGAAACATTATGGTTTTCGTGGAAATTTAAACAGAGCTTTGCGCATCAAAGCGTAGCCAATATGAAGTCTTAACTCCTGACTTAACTTTCATACCTTTAGGTTTCTAGAAACTTATTTTTCACGTTTAATATTAAACTTTCATACTTTTATTTGCTAACCAAGTTGTGTCGAAGAATATTAAGTCATTGAGAGGTATTATGATTGAGAACTGTTCTGCTCTAGATCTTTCCTGGCGATGAATGAAATTTTTTGTGACCTAAGTTTTCTCTTCCATTGTTTTACACTAATTTTTGATTCACTGGGTCAAACGATATAAAAATTAAGAAATGAGTCGTTAATTAATATGAAATAATGAAATATATGAACTGAAGCTAAGATTTGTGTTTATGTAGGAGTGGAAAACTTTCGTATATTTCAAATGATTTTCATTATAAAAAAGTAAACTATTTAATTAGTGTTTTATTATCAGATGCCCATTGAAACAATTCAATAGTAATTTTCTTTACAATAGTGATGAATAAAGATAAAATATGCAGTCAACCCAGTCTCTTGGATCAGAGCGTATATACAATATGCTTGTCTAGTGGGTCGATTACAACCGTCTCCTGTCATTCTATGTGTTATTTCATTAATGAAAATTGCATTGCGTTAGTTTATAAAGGAGACTGACTGCAATGCAATACAACAGAACGCTCACGTTCGCTAAGTGGGATTTTTTCTGTTGGATGCCACAGTTCCTTGTCCTTTTACTGAACACAAGAAAAGACCGCTACCAAAGTGAGTGCTTTTTGACAGTTGCCATTTTTATGAGAAGTGCCAAATGGGAGATATGCAATTCAATTGAAATAAAATTATTCTAGATGGTAGAATAAAATCATGTGTGTATATAATACCAACTCGAGAAAAAAATAAATAAAGAGAATACATACATATAAACCAAACACGTTTCTCTCGTTTTTCCCGTTCGTGCTCCTATCTTCAAAGTATTTATTTCAATCATTTGACGGGGAAGTTTCGTCTTCTTTGTAACTTCCCTCACAAAAAAAGAAACATTTTGTTCTTAATAATCTTCTTTTCTCAGATTCACTGTTTATATAAAGACTGACGGATCGATGTTGATATCGATATGAAATTTTAGGAATTCCAAAAAATGAATAATTTTCCTGTAATGTATTATTAAAATGGAGCATTATGATATATGATTTTTTCCATGATTAACCGCTCAGGAGATACAGGGCGTGATGGACAGATAGACATTTGGCTATAATATATATATGGATTGAGTTTTATGGTTATGATTGTGCAGTAAAGAACTACATCATATATATTTGAATGGATCTATGGCCTTTTGTGGCCCAGTTGTCAGTACGCCTATAGTGTGAACCTGAGGTTTCAGGATTCGCGTCTCTTTGCTTGAGAAACAAGCTTTATATTTTAAAGTTATAAATGTAGAACTGCGGTTAATTCCTAGCATTTGATAAGACAAGAGTAACCCAAAAGTTGATTGTGGGTACTGTTAAACAGCTATCTTGTTTTTGCAGGAAAATCAAGTTTTAAGTATATATCTATCTATATATACACATCAAATATGCAGCAGTACGAAAATAAAATAGCTTTAAATGACACTGTTTAAACACAATTATTTGTGACGGACTAGTGAACTTAATGCTAATTATTAACTCTTATTATAATTTCTTATAATTTAATCTAGTTGCATTAATCCTTGCCGTACGTTTGTGTTGCTGTTTATATCTATATATGTAAATATTGTGACGGATTTATTATTTTCTATTTATTTTAATATCGATGTTTGTTTAAATTTAATTTATCTTTAGAAATGTACATAAATTATATTGTTAAATATGTATTGCGAAACTCCCGCCTATTCTTTAACGTTGTAGAAGATTCTCGAATGTAAGAATCAACAATATATGTGTGTGTACGTAAACGCTAATGTAGCTTTGTATTGTAATGTAATCTGAATTTTCGAGAAACTCTCCACACGCCTATAAATATAACCAACACAGCAAATCAAAAAACAGTATCTATTATTGGGTTGCTGTAATTGGTGTGCTACAAACTTCGTAAGCTATAACTGTGATTAACGCTTATTAATCGGGAAACTTCAGATATTTGACCAGGAACGTTAGTAAATTTCGAGGATTACAAACCATTTAACTTCATTGGATTCACAACCCGCATTAATACTTTTACGGAAACATTACCTAACGTCATTGGTGGAAACTCGACCTGTAATCGGCGTGTAATCAGCGAGAGTTACAGGACTAGCTAGCTTCCTGTTAAGTGAATTGTATTTACGTCAGCTCGAAATTAACTTGTTCATCGTGAACCCTCGATAAGACATCAAGGAAGTTTCAGACTAGAATGGAGACTTTATATTGTTTGTAAGATTGTAAAACTTTTTGTATATAAATTATTGTTTGTAATAACTATTTGTAATAACTGTTATTGTAAGTTGTATTATCGTTTGTATATTAAAATATATTTGTATTTAAATAAATAGAAAACTGTGTGTATCAATCTTTTTGGCAAATATCATAAATTGGATAGATATCGGCATTTATTTAACTACCAAATTTAAATTATCATTTAGCTCAGTTTCAGACCATTCGAAATTGTAATACGTAACAATATATACTACCTAACTTATATGTTCAACTCAAGGGGAAGCCCCCGTAAGAATGATATGGGAAGTGTTCCGATCCGATCGCCGACCATCCTATGTCACTCCTCAGGAGACCTTAAAGGTATATGCGAGATTTGTTGACACAGTTATAAGTGGACATACACACACGGACTTATATCAAATAATGACTTAAATATATATATATATGTTAGAATGTTATGGTTCAGCCTTAAAAATACATGGGACCTATAATTCGAAACCCTATATTTTAGGATCAGGAGCTGTTTAATGTGTTTTTGCTGTTATCTCAGCAAAGTCATTCTATGTTTCGTTACTTCTTGTGTGTAAATCTGTGCTTACGGTTCTAGCCTCTTTCTAGTGCTTATTAGTTTTGCTTATCTGGCATGTAATGGAGATGTTGAATTATCAATACTAAAGGATTATATATGCCTTCTATGTTCTTGAATCATTCTATAATATTCTTGTTGTTTCTTTAAAACATGTTTCTCGGCGCTAAACTGCATTCAAGAAGAACACATTTTTTCCATTTCACTGAATATTTATAGATATTATTTATTCAATACAATTTCATGGTTGATAAGGCTTTTAAAACTCTATCATGATCTTATATTGTCTACAGCGTTTTTTAATATAGTACGACCGTTTTCATAGGCAAACGAAGCAAACATTATCTGGTGTATGTATATATATGAAGGGTGGGGATAAAATACATACAAGACCTGAACATGGTAATTCGATGTGGATCAGAGGAGTATGACCCTCAAAAAGTGTGGCATTAACGGTGGGGATAAGATACATATAAGACCTGAACATGGTAATTCGATGTGGATCAGAGGAGTATGACCCTCAAAAAGTGTGGCATTTATAGACTTCAAATGCAGCAATTTCTAAAATATGTACAGGAAAACACGGACATGTAGTGTACGCCCCCTGCCCCTTGGTTCTTTTGTCTATACTTTATTCGATTATAAGTTGGTTTTTGTTGTTTTCTATTTCATATCTGTTCAGTCTCTTTTCTATAGTATTTCCTGAAACTGAAGGTTGTTGTTTTAATTTTTTATCTCAATAAGATCTATTAATTTCTGTTGCTTTCCTTCAGTGTTCCTCTTTTATTCTAAAGAGTAGAATTCCAGAGTTCCATTTTGCATGTCAGTAAAAATATGTTTTAGAAGCAGTTATATTGCTTTTTACTACTATGTTATAGTTTATTGAACTGAAGTTTGGAAACGTTGAGAAAGTACCAATTTCAAGCCACTGGCTCGAGCCCACTGAAGTGATTAAGCAATTAAGAACTTATTCAACGATCCTTATTTAACGACAATAACCCCCAAAAATCTTAGATATCTGTACCACTTACAAACACATTCCTCCCGTGTTCCATATTTTACTGATGTCAGGATACAAATGAAAAAGTTAGTTGCATAAAATGTTATTGTAACAAGTATAATTTGAACAGTAAATCATCAGAAATAGCTAACTTTTATTTAAAAAGACACATGTACTGACCGCAATGTGTGACTATTTTTGCAAAACCAATGTATTATTCATAACGTTTTGAATTTTTAATGAGCTAATTGTTTTTAACTTCTTGCGTATCATATTGTTCATGGCTTCTTTTCTCATTAGTTTTCTGCCATACTTCCTTTGGTCAGGATGGCTCAATTGGAAATTGGCCTTGTGTAAAGTACTTATTAAAAACTCAGTAACATAACGTTAAAAATAACACAATATAAATGCTTTAAAAACTTATTGATAGCACCAGGCTTTACCTAAAACTCAGGCACGGCCTGGTGCCTACAATAAAGTTTTTAAAGTATTTATATTGTGTCATTTTTAAGTTATCTTACTTAGTTTTCATACAGTTTTTAAAGTATTTATATTGTGTTATTTTACTGAGTTTTTAATAAATGGCTAGATTGGTTAGTTTGTTTTACTTGCACTGCTTTAAGCACATGAACGTTCGCTTCTAAAGTACTGTCATGGAAATTGGGATTTTGTACGTTTGTTTAAAGTTAAACAATGGGCTATCTGTGCTCTGCCCACCACGGGTATCGAAACCTGGTTTCTAGCGTTGTAAGTCCGCGGACTGTGCTACTGGAGGGCGGGATTTTGTACCATCAAAGTTTACCAGTTTCCAGTTTAAGGTAAGTAAAGAGATATTAAAACATCTTTTTTCAGTTGTGTATTCAAAAATAAACACACGTAGCAATAAACGAGTTAAAGGCAATGCTATCTCCGCTGTACCCGCCGCAGGGATCGAACTCTGGATTTAAAATAAAAAAAAATTCCATATAACATTTATAAAAGTATTTTCGATACATAAAGTCATTAAATAACGTGACCTTTACATTATCAAAGGTAAACCAAACGATTTTGTATAGTAAAATAAAGAATCCTAAATATAAAATGTTCTTGTCAAATACTACTTTGTACTTGTAAGTATAACAACACCGAAGTAAGCATACAGCTTTCAATAATATTAATTGTGATATCGAACTATTTGCTTGTTTTTAAGCGCAAAACTGCACAGATGGTCGTCTGCGTCATGCTCGTTGCAGGGAACGAACCCCGAATTTAAGGGTTATAACCTCTCAAGCTTACTTCTGAGCCATGAGGAGGATCTGTAGTGCCAGACTTTAGAAGAAATGTAAAGTGAACAACCTAATATCGAACTATTTTAAAAACATGCACATTAATTTCATTACTGATTGATTCTTCTTTTAAGTATAATTATATACGATACATGTTTATAATTATATATTTAAGAACTATTTTCAGTAGAACGCCATTTTTTCACATCAGAGCGTGTTACTTTATATGTCATACTCAACAACTTTCAAATAACCTTTTCTACCAACGAGCAATCAATCGGCTAAAAATATACGGATGATGATACTGTACAGTAAGGAATATGTTTGACTTAGAGAACCCAAAACGTGTAAAGGTAACATCCATAATATAGATGTTAATAGCATACACGTCTACATCATACCTTCATGCACGTGCCTCATATACAGATGACATCCATGATTTGTTTATTGTATTGATGTTTGTAAAACCATATGAAACTAGCAATGAGCGATGTACCCAATACAAAAGTAAACGTTTAATTATAAGTAAGTAGCATTATAGAAGAGAACACAAACATATCATAACTGTTACCCTGGGGCGTTGCCTAGTGGTTAATAAAAGAGTTATGATCAAAGCCTATTATTTGCTACAGTAGTCCAAGAGTTGGCGGTGGTTGCTGTTGACTAGCTGCCTTCCCTCTAATTTAGCAGCTCGAAATTAAGGAAAATTTTCACGGAGAGTTCTCGTATAACTTTGGGCAAATATCCGAAACCCATTAACCCAAAGCCTAACTAAGGAATATTCCGTAAGCTTTATTTTAGTTCAACTTTGTGCAAACTGGCAAAATACCTGACCCAAAAACTTCTTTATTCATTGAGTTGTTCTGAGACGTACTTGAGAATATGGAAAAGAGCTGTTTCTACACTAATTTGTTTTTTAGATCCATCGAATTCTATGTTATGCACCATTGATTTCCTTCAATTAAACTTATATCTAATGTCTTAACCGACCCGGAAATTACTTCAATTACCTAATATCTTTTCGATATCATTGAACTCTTCCATCTAACCATCTATAACATAGTAGAGAAATTGTTTTAAGGCTTTAACGTGTCATGATATTAATAAATAACTGTGACCTTTCAACCTAAGGATACAAGTCAACTTAAGCAAGGCATTTGTCTTTATGGCAAAGTTACAAAGTCTATCTGCTGCCGTCCGTAATTTTGAGGAGCCGACCAGAGTAAAAGGTAATCAGTCAGCAGCACTCTATCGCTCACCACCCACGCCCAGGGATCAACTATCCTTATTATAAGCACTCATGGTTTAAAGTGAGGGATGGTGGAATATTTTGTGGTATCACAACGGATCCAACCGGGCTAGAAAATCCATAACTCTGACACAAGGACATCTGCCTTTTTATCAACGAACAGATTCAAAACAGACATTTTAAGTATAATAATTAACTTTGTGCATTTCTCAATCTCCAAGTATTACTGCTGCTGCTATCCGTAAAGTACAGGGTTTGTTTTGTTATGAATTTCGCGCAAAGCTAAACGAGGGCTATCTGCGCTAGCGTCACTAATTTAGCAGTGTAAGACTAGAGGGAAGGCAGCTAGTCAGCGCCACCTTCCGCCAACTCTTGGGCTACTCTTTTACCAACGAATAGTGGGATTGATCATCATATTATAACGCCCCCACGGCTGAAAGGGCAAGCATGTTTGGTGTGACTGGGATTGCGAGTCGAGCGCTCTAACCACCTGGCCATGCCGAGCCAAAAGAGAGAGAGAGAGAGAGAGAGAGGTTAAATGTATGAATTGAAAATCACAATTCACATATTTCATTGAAATATAAAACAATAGAGACTTTCAAGTTTTCATAAAGACTAAAACAACTCAATTACTTCAATATAAGATAAAATATATAAATCTTTTAAATCTTGTTATGCCTAAGGCGCTTTACAACAGTTTAATTAAACAAATTGTTTTGTGGAAAAGAAATACATATGTCTTAAAATAAGAATATTATTTAGAACCTAAGTTTTGAAATAAACTCATACATTTATTTGAAAAACGTGAATTTTTACACAAGAATAGGAGAGAAGAAAAGGTACATTTTAATTAAATATTGGTTGTATAGAACTGTTCAAATGTACAATGTTAGAATACTCACAACGATATCTATAAATTTAGTATACCCACAACTGTATATACTGTTACCATACATACCATAACTACTTCTACAATTTTTAGATATCCAAAACAATATATACAACAATAAGATTCCCACAACTACATATACAAAGTTAAAATATTTAAAACGCATGTAGCAGAGATAGAAATCTCACAATGATATCTACAAACTCAAAATACCCACTTCGATTACTACTTAGTTAGAATACCCACAAAGATATCTATATCAAGTTAGAATACCATAACGACAAGTGCAAAGTTAGTATACCCACAGCAACATGTACAAAGTTATGATATCCACAACGACGTGTACACAGCTATAATACCCATAACAATATACACAAAATTGGGGTACTCACCATCTTATCTACCGAGTAAAAATACAGCTACATCTACAGTGCTAGGATACCCCAACAAAATCTAAACAGATATAATTCCATATGAACCATATGAACAATGTTAGAATACGCAGAAAGATATCCAAAAAGTGAAAATACCACAACGGTATCTATAAAGTTTAGAATAACCACAACGATACCTACAGAGTTACAGTACCCAAATTCTATATCTGAAAAGTTAGAATACCTATAGCGATACCTACAAAGATATGCTAAAAATGATAAAGTTAATATACTTTAATCAAATCTAGAAAGATTGGATACCCCATCCATATACCTTACTTCGAGGACCTCTAGAAAGTTAGGATACCATAGCTATATCAACAAAGTTAGAATACTCATAAGAATATCTACAAAATTAAACTACTACGATAATGTTAGGGTACCCGTAAGGACATCTACAAAGTTAGGATACTTATAAGCACATCAAGCAGAGACAGGAATCTCACAGTGACATCTACAAGCTTAAAATACCCACATAGATATCTGCAACTTTAAGATACCCACTAGAGAATCAAGAAAGTTAGAATACATACAATACCTTCTGAGTTAGGATTCGCACAATGATATCTACAAAGATAGAATATCAACGATGATATCTGCAAAGAAAACTAAACACAAAAATATTAGGATACACCCAAATATATATATATATATATAGTTAGGATATCCACAATTATATAAGGAAAGTTATACCCGCAAAATATATATATAAAAGTATGATATTCACAATGATATATACACAATTAAGCTAATTCCAACGATACCTACATAATTCAAACATTCACAACGATATCTACACAGTTAAAGTACCTACAACGATATCTACAAAATTAAACTAACTAAGATCATATTATGATACCCACACTGACATCTACAAAATGAAGATACCACAAACACACCTTAAAGATATAATACTACCAATAGTATCTTCAACGTTAGAATTCCCATAACGATATTTACAATTTTAGAATAATCTATAAAATTAGGATGCCCAAATAACAACGATACCTAAGACACCAACATTGATATCTACACAATTAACCTACCTAAAATAATGTTATGATAGGTACACAAACATATATAAAGTTAGGATATAAACAAACTACGGTATCTTCAACTTATAATACCTACAATGACGTCTTCAAAGGTATGATACAGCGATGTCCATAAAGTTAGAATAACCACAATGATACCTTAAAAGTTAAAATTGCTACAACGACATCTAAAAACGTTGTTAGACTACCCACAATGGCATCTACAGCGCTAGGATACTTACAAAGATATCTACAAACGTGGAACACCTACAATGATATCTACCAAATTAGGATACCTAGAACGATATCTACAAAATTAGGATATCCTCTTAGATATCCACAAAATTAGGGTACTCACTTAGGTATCCACAAGCATAGGATACCTACAACTACGTCTACAATGTTAAGATATCCCAAAAAATTTACACAGATAGGATTTCCAGAACGATATGAAAAAACAAGATTACCCAAAATGATATCTCAACAGTGAGAATACTCCAACAACATCTAAAACTTTAGGATATCTACAACGACATATATAAAGCTAGAATACACATCACGATTTCTAAAAATCTAGGATCCACTCGACATTATATACAGAGCTGGAATATCTACAACTATGTCTGCAATATTAGAACAGACCAACAATATTTATAAAGAAAAAAGAATTTCCAGAGCGATATGAACAAAGTTAGAATACCCACAACGATATCTAAAAGGTTAGAATACCCCCAACGACATCTACAAAGTTAGGATACCTGCAACGATATCTGTAAGGTTAGAATACCCACAACAGTATCTATAACGTTAGGATAACCACAAAGACATCTACAAATTTAGGATACCCACAACAATATCTAAAGAGCTACGACACCCAAATTCGATATCTGCAAAGTTAAAATACCTAGAATGATACCTACAAAGATATGCTAACAACGATAAAGTTAATATACTTTAATCAAATCTAATAAAATTGGATACCATATCAATAGAGCTGGAATACAAACAACTACCAATATAAACCTAGGATACTCACAACGACATCTACAACATTAAAATACTTATAAAAACGATATTTACAAAGTTAAGTTAACCACGAACACGTTAAGAGTAAACACGTTGACATCTACAAATCTAGAACATAGTGACCTCTCACGACAATATATTCAGAGTTACAATGCCCACGGCAACATCTGTAGTTACGTTATCCATAATAAAGAGTACTTGTAATGGCGTTACGAAGTTATGTTAATCAACGAGATTTATAAAGTTAAACTACACACAACGACGTCTATGAAGTTAAGACACCCATGTAAAATACTCACAAGATCAACAAACTTAGGCTGTTCATGACGACATTTACAAAATTAGGCTACTCACACACGACGATATCCACAAAGTTAGACTACCCACAGCGACATTACACATTCACTATACTCACGACAACATGCAGAAAGTAAGAAAATCGACGACGCTATTTACAAAGACAGGCTACCCACGATGGTTTCTACCAAGTTAGGCTACCCACGATAACATGTACAGATTTAATCTGCCAGATTCAACTCTCAATACTTGTTTCCTGTTTTAAACCAATTATATATTAATAAAGTACAGAGAGATTTTCTTCGGAGTGAAATGTTTTTTTCTAAAGTATCACAATGGTTTTAAATATATCGTTTTCGGGAACTTACAGGATGTCAAAGTCATCAATCAAGGAAATAATGAAAATAAAAAAAAATATATATGAAAAATGGAATATAATTCATTGTAATGGCGTCAATTAGATAATTTAATCAACTGAAAAATGTATTTTATAAAAACATAATGCCGTAATAGCTTTAAAGCGTGGCTCGTAGACATTAGTTAATAAAATCTTTCAATGTTAAACAATTTTCAATTGAGTTCTGGGTGTTTTATTTGAACATGCTTTGTTACTATACGTTTATTTAAATTAAATTATCATTCTGTATGATAAACATTGAATTATATGCTTTGATTTCAAACATCTGCTTTTGTTTTGAACAGAAAATGGAAAATATAACAGCTAATAAGATGATGAGCCCTATTGGTAAGCTTCTGACGTTAAACCTAGACTACAGTGGATCATAAAGTCATGGAAATGATAAAACGGAGAACAATTTATGTACTTGGGATATATTTATTGCTTAGTTTACAATGTGGTGAGTCTGGTTTAGTTTTTTATTTCTGTAGATAATTATTAATTTAAGTGTAATACATTCTGAAGTGTAGATTTCATTTATTTGCCTTTTCTAGCAGTACCCATTTTTTAACACCTAGGTTGTTTTTATTGACAGGGAACAGAAGAAAAATATAACGTTGATAATAATGTATAAAATATAATAATCTGACATTAACACATCTATGTTTAGAATATAGTTCGTCTAGAAACTGATGAACAGTCGCATTTCACGACCATTAATTTTAGAATATTTTCTCTCATCCTCATTATAAGATGTATCCAGGAAGGATCCTTCGGGTTTACTAAACCCACGTTCATTAATTATTTTGCAAAATTATTTATTTCATTATATGTCCACACCCAACCTGTCATCATAATTACCGAAGAATTTTTGTATTAGATTGTATTACGAAATAAAAAACATAATATTAATATCTTATTGCTCTGAATAATCATTTTTCATGAGCTTCAAATGTTAAAGTTTCATAACCGATGAAATTACAGTAATATATACATAGAAATGTAGATATATAGCTCTATGGCATACTCTCTATGGATATAAAAACTTCATTTTTGTAGGATATTAATCGATTGTTATCCATGTGTGTGTGTGTGTTGCTGACGTGTTTGACTTATCGATGTCGTGTGCCTTTTGGGTGTGTTAAGTATTGACAAACTGCATCCCTCTGTGTATAGGTGTGTTGTGTTGCTGATGTGTTTGTATTATTTCTTGAGTTTAGAATTTCCCCTTCTCACCACCTTTGCATATTGTAGAATTAATATATATATATATTTCTGTATATATATATAAGTTTGCTTCAAACTGATACAACGTGGTGTGTCAGCACAATACTGTATTTTAAGAACGTGTTCCTTTTATGGATTTTCCATCCAGGTGTAACTGTTCAACCATTTCCTGTGTGTCGCAGTTGTCAAAGTCGACGTTATCTAATCATTAAAGCTTTTCTCCATCTAGCTAACCTGATGACATCTAATACAGAGCATATGATGGAGATTTTATATCTCGGTCAGTTAATCTGATGATTTCTGATACCGAACGAAATCTAGTCGAAAGTCAAAAATGTTCGTTGTAATAAAGTTCCTGCCTAGTTTTGACTGAACAAACTGTACAAGGGGATTACGTAAGTTCCAATTACCTCACGTTCCTATACAACACATTTCGTATTAAAAACACATTTCTAGTGTTCTAATTTGGTGTTAATTCGTGTACCACGTTTTACTCATGGGAATTATCCACGGTCTCATGAGACAGAAGGGGCACATCGGTTAGCGTGCTGAATTTTGGATCTGTGAGTCGTTGATTTTTCATTTCCGCAAAACTAAAACAAAACAAAAATAAGAAAATTACTAATCGCACCTTCGAGCCGTGGGTAGGTTATAAGAGTGACTATCAAATCCTATTATTCGGTCAGGCAAGACTAGCCCAAGATTTGGCGTGGATGCTGTTAATTTCAGCCTATAACTTCAAATTTAGGGACTGCTAGAGCAAATACCTGAAAACAAACAATGAGTTAGACGTATGGTGTCCTACACTACCATATGTGTGTGTGGTGGGGGGGGGAGATATAATGCTTACAACTGTCACATGAAGCAGAAATGTTTTCGAATCCTCTTAATTAACTATTTTTTATTGGCCATGAAGTGGTAACAGTGCGTTCGTCTTTTCTACTTTTAAGTAACAACAGGTCAACAGTTTACTTTAGTCTTTTCTATTGTATTTGACTCCACCAAACAAAGCAACAGTCCTATGGTTAGACATTCTTTAGTTTGTCATTAATAGATAAAGTATATATTTTTCTTTAATTTCACACCATATCTTACGTTTTTCATACATTCTGCATCCACTCACTAACACCTGTCCAGATCCTCGAATCTCCACTTGTTGCTAAGATCAGGTAACTGTGTGCTAGGTTTATGGCTCGCATAATTTAAAAGCCAACTATTTTGACGCAGTTTTACTTTTTATTTCAGTCATTATCTATGTGTTTCGCAACATAATCTTAGATTTTGTCAGCTTCGACATTTATTCATCAAAGAGACTGCCTTGGAATTTTATGTATTCGAACCTGTTTAGAGTCATTCCTATTGTCAGAATATGCACAATGTCATTGTTATTGTGGAAACCAACGGTCAACTAAAAATAGTACAAAAATGGATTAACTCAGGAACTACACGTAATAAAAATTTCGTTTTAGAGCCCACCGCTTTGGAGATAATGTAAACGTCATCCTCAGTGTAATATTGTCTTCAACATGGGCAGTGGCAGAGTCTAATATATTTTACACTGATTCAATAGGATTCACTGATCCGTTCGGTTTTGTGGAATTCAGTATCAGCAATTTTGTTCTTGATAAATTATTTCAATTATTTTTAGTCATACTCACTCTGGCCAATCCGTTTCCTCTCGTATAATTAATTATATGTATTGTAATTCAGGTACAGTGAATATTTTTCCCCTGTAATGTATATTGGAATTTCAGACACTATTGAAACTTGTTTTTCATTGTCTTTAGGCATATCAAGAACTTTTGTTACGTTAACAACCCAACATTTCTGTGATGTCATATGGTCACTCCATTGGTTTTGTAGCATCTATTGAAGCTTGTTTTTCAGACATATCAATATCTTTTGTTACGTTAACAACCCAACATATTTGTGATGTTGTATGGACACTCCATTGGTTTTGTAGCATCTATTGAATAACTTAATTTCTCTTTTAATGAGGTGTCATTTTTCTTTTTCATAGCTTCTGCAAAGTGTTTCCAGCCATTTTCTATAGCCATTTGTACAGGATGTTTGGTTTTGTGCCCTCATTATCACGAAAAAACAAATTTCATTATTAAAATGTTGTATGTTTGGATTTTATGAATAGCATTTTAAAGCTTTCTTGCTATTTCTGAGAAAGCTTTGTCACCATACAAAGTTCTTTCTATGATAAACTTTAGTAGGTTTTCATGAGAAGGTGGGCAGTTTTTGATCTTTTGTTGGAGATATCTGACAAACTACATAAATACCGTAATCGGTTGCGAGACAATTCATATGCATGATCTGACTTACATTTTACGCTTTCCGATTTTACTCTACGCACTATGCTTTAAAGTATAATACGTATTCTTCTTTCTGAAATTATGTATTTGGTTGGGTAATTAAACTGTATGCTGCTAATCCCAGTTATCTAATATTAACTATCATTATCCTAATTTTGGCTTGATAAGAAGATAAACTCTCCCATGAGTTAACGATTTTCTGTATATATATTAATTGTTGGAATTATTAATGATCCTCAGACTTTTGACTGGTGCATCTCCAATAGAAACTTACAAAACACTCATCAAATCAGCATTATCCTTACAGTTTGTTCACATTATGACGGAACTCATGATATCATTTCTATGAAAACACCCACCCACTGATGACTGCAATAATCTATTGTTTTCATTGAAATGATATTATAATAACACCATGGCACAGACAACCTGCAATACTGTGTGAATATACGCAATTCGGACATTTTCATGCATAAAGTTGGGAAAATTGCGAATTATATTGGTTGAACTTAAAGGTGATAGGTGATTTTGACCTTGGACGGCCATAGAATAGCGGACACTAAATAACATAAATCTGAACTCTTACTGAGTTATTGCATCTTTGTAAAACTTGTAATTGACAGTCTTTTGCCACAGTAACCCATGGTCAGACACAAATTCCAAGGTGACAAAATCTATTTTATGAAACCAGAATTGATCCAAAACATTTAATCTTATGATTTCAGCCAAAACATCAGAAAAACTCTTTTTTGAGCTCTTTGCCCCGTGACTAGTTGTAAACTATTAGTTTTTAATTTGTCTCTCAACGGTTCAGCAGTAAACCTAAAGGTTTGTAATGCTAAAAACCGGATTTTGATACCCATGGTGGACACAAGAAACAAACAGGCAAAAGTTTTCAAATTTACAATTTTGATACCAATATAACAACATTTAAGGCACTACTTCAAATTTATCTCTGTGGTTGTTTGTCTAAACTAATACTTGGAAATGTTTAAGACCAGAGCCTAATTTCTGCCTGATATCTGGAACCGAGATGTGTAATGTTTGGAACTGTTTTTGATCTAAAGGCGAAAACGCTATAATTTGAAATCTGATATTGGCTGGTGTAATCAATTAATTTAATCCCGTCCACTATCATTCCAAGTTGTAGCTTCTATGAGGTTTAAATTCATATTTTTCAAAATTCATAAACCCTCCCCATCCGTCAACAGAGATCCAGTATCTTTTTTCTTCTTCTTCCTAGAAATTAAGCATTGTTTAAGACTATCATCACCCCCCAGAAGCTCAGTAGTTAGTTTGAAGGCTTATAACACTAAAAACAGGGTTTCGATACCCGTGGTGGGCACAGCACAGGTAAACTTATGCAACTTCGTGCCTAACTACACTACGAACAAACAACACCATCATCTAATAACATTGTATTTTAATTAAAAGCTAATTACTAAGTGGGTATATAATTACATTTGGTCACGAAGAAGTCTACTTCCCATTATATGATTACATGTACAAATATTATGTTGTTGTTTTTTGAGGAAATAATGTAATTATTTGTGTTTACACTATTGGTCCAAAAGTATCACATCCGCACCATGCGAGCCATCTTGTACTTATTTCTATACGTCGTTACATACTTTATCTAGCCAAATATATATTAATGGTTTTGATGCCGATTGTGAAAGTAACAGTGTTTAGTGTTTTCACAACACGCAACTTTGAATGCTTATAAAAAGTAATATCAGCAGAACGTGAGGGCGACAGACGAGCTCGATCGTTCCCACTGCGGCCAAGGCATTGTCATGGAAACAGTAGTTAAGAGATAACAACTAATGCACTTTGAAAAATGCATGTACTTAACCTGATGCCTTTTTTGTTTTGTTTTCACTAACAGTTCAGTTAATACTTTCTATATACA